ACCAACATGGAAACATCGGAGCCTGTGTTCCCTGCTTCTCTAAACACCTGAAGAGCCACCGCCAGGGCCCACGTTCCTTCATGGCAACAATCAGCGGGAAGAGAGAGCGGCCTCCAGAGTGGACCCGGCATGGACTCCCGGGGCCGCCACGGGTCCGGCTGCCCACCACCCGCACTCACAGGACCTGTCTGGGCCCTGGAGGCCCTGGAGTCTGAGACGTCCAGGTCAGTCCACACCCCCTACACACCCTCCATTTTGTAAAGGGAAACTGAGGCCCAAGAGAGAAGCTTGTCCAAGGTCACACAGCCAGTTAGTGGCGGCGCATGCATGAGTGTACAGGGGCCTGCTTCCCACGGGGCCACTTCTGCCCACCACACTGGCCTTCCAAGAACATTGCATGATCTCAGAGCTGGAAGGGGCCCTAAGGATGCGGTGTGGGGACAGCCAAGGTGCCACTGGCTTCTCTCAGAATCTCTCCTGCATTGGCACAAGCTAGGCAGGGCTCTGAGCCCCTCCCAAAACGGGCGTTCTGGGGTCCGGCAGCTGGACTCCACATGTGCTGGCAGCAAGCTCCGTGTCTGATGCACTGCTGACAAGAAGGCACTGGGCCGTGTCAGACACTGTGTAGATGTCAACGCCCTTGATCCTCTCAACCAGCCTATCAGAGGTGCCCGTGGTGCCCCTTTATAATAGAGGAGGAAACTGAGGTTTGAAGAGGTTAAGCAGGTAGCCCAAGGCTGCTGAGCTAGTAACAGTGAGGCCAGGATTCTCACACGGGGTCTGGATCGAGGCTGTGTGCACCGAATAGCAACGCCCCTCTGAAGGCTGAGCTCTCGCCACAGCCCCACCTGCCCAGCCTGCCCAGCCTGCAACAGGGAGCAGATGCAGCCAGGTCTAGGCACTTACAGCGGCCCACCACGGTGTGCAGGTTCGGGCTCTCTTTGAGGAAGCCCTTCCAGGCTCATGAGAGAAGTTTTAGCCACAGCCCATGAGTCACCCTGGGAGGAAGGTGCTGGGCCTGGGGGAGCTGGGTATGGCTTGGAGCTGTGGGGTGGGGCCCGGGGGCCTGGAAGGACGGCACAGAGACCCCAACCCGACCTTCAGCCACTAAGACGGAGTGACCTCTGGCCCTGGGGGAGGAGGGGCTGTGACTCACCCAGAGTCAAGGCTGCACACTGGGGGGTACCCGCCAGCCTCCAAAGCGGAGCCACTGGGCCTGCTCCCCTCGGGCTGCCCCACAAGAGACTGGGCCAGGCAAGCCCCCCTGTTCATTAGCACAAAGCCTCGAGTTTTCCCGGTGGGGAGAAGGCAGTGGGTCGCCCAAACTGCGAGCTAAGAGGACTCCCTCCTCCCTCCCATTGGAAGCAGGAAGGGAGATTCCCACTTGTGAGCCCGGGCCCACGGTGGGGAAGAGCTGGAGCTGTGCCTGCGGCCTGGCCCCTGTCCTGGCAGCGCCCTGGCAGCGCCCTGGCAGCGCCCGTGTCTCCCAAGATTCCTGGCTCCCAAAGCACTTTCCCACCTGGGGTTCCGTTTGTACTGGTTGACCTTGTAGTGGCTATTTTGTCCCATTTTACAGAGGCAGAAACTAAGCTTCCGAGAGAATGTGAGCTATGTTCTCTTGCAACAAGAACCCCTACTTCTACCTCTGCTGCACTATGGGGGCTGCTACCGGGTCCCCTCCCCCCAGTCAGCAGAGCAGGAGGCTGAGACCCACCAAGCAAGATCCCACAGAAGGGTGGCGGCAGTGGCGTCTAGTTGGAGGGGCCTCAGTAGATCAGGGGCCCTCACACACACACACACACACACACACACACGCACGCACGCACGCACACACAGTCTCCCTGGGCCTGCCCCGCACTCACCACATGGTAGATAGCCAGGGCGGTGGTGGCGATGCGGACATTGAAGAAGCAGCAAGTCTGGCGGATGGCCGTACTGGGGGCCATGGTGCCACTGTCCCCTGTGCCAGGCACTGAAGGGGAAGAAGCTCGGCTCCTGGAGGACGGGAAAGGGCAAGCGGCCCCTCAGACAGGCAGGGGCAAGGCCATCACAAGTGGGGCGAGGCTGCTGGGATGGGCCACAGTCTGCCTGGGAGCACCACAGCTGGCCCTCTGCCACTGCCAGAGGGGCTTCCCGGGGAGGGCAGACCCATGCACCGTCCGTGCCTGCGTCCTGTGCGCCCGGGCTGGGGGTTAAGCAGTTTCTGGATGCTCGCCACCACCCTTGGAAGTGGTTGTTACCAAACCCATTTCCAGACAGAGAAACGGAGGTCCAGAGAGATCAAGGTGTTCCCCCCAAATCACGGCAGTAGTTAGTGCTGGTGGCAGGATTCAAACCCAGGAGGGACTGTTCTGGAAGAAAAGCCATTAAAGAAAAGAGAGAGTTTGGGGGCGCAACGGTTTCTCATTGGCTGAGCTGCTAGGGTAGTCAAATTCTTGTTGGAGATACAGTGTACATCTTTTCCTGTTGGGATCTATAACTGATGATTCTTTTCTATTGACCATTCTATTGGGGTAATTGACAAAACTTTCCCTGCAATTGACGTGCAGTGGTACTGTGTGAGAGCTCCCCCTGCTGGCCTTATGACTCCATTTTAATGAGGTTTCCCTTTATTAATTTTCACACCCTGCAAGATACAACCCAGCCCATGTCTTCCCCTTGCCTCCTTACGCTGTCCTGTCTGCTCTTCTTCAAACACTCCAAGCCCCTTCTGGTGTCAGGGCCTCTGCACTTGCTTGGACTTCTTTTTCCCAAGCTGTCCTATGGCTGGTTCCTTCCTCAGGTCTCAGCTCAAATGTCACCCCGTCAAAGAGGCTTCCCCTAACCACCCTTGTGCCCACAGAAACCTTTCCAACTCTCCATTCCTTTATGACCTATTGCCATAAAGCTTCTCATCGCCTGTAATTACCTTATTTGTTATTCTGTTGACCAATTTAATGTGTTTCTCCTTAACATTTACTGAGCTCCTACTCCAACCCCTCACGTGAATGGCTGTTATCTCCAGCCCTGAGAGCTCACACGTGCCCACCAAATATTTGCTGAGAGGATGTGAATATAATTCAGACTTTGAGAGAATGAACATTGATCAGATGCCAAGTGTCAGGTGTCACGGGAAAAACACTCATAACAGAGGACTCAGTCCAGCTTAGAGGTCAGGAATCTGAGCTAAAACCTGAAGGGTGTAGATGCAGAGAACAGAACACGCTACTCTACTGGTTTAAACAGGAGGAGATGTGTTCCTGTTATGTGTTATAAACAATCCAGAGACATGAAAGAAACAAATTTAAGGTTGAGCTTTCAGGAGCATCTCCCAAAACCACACCACCAGGTGTGCTGCCAAGGGAGCTGCCCACTGAAGTCACCAGGAGCAGGGAGAGCCCCACATGCCACAACCAAGGGGCACTGCCAGCAGACACACCGCCAGCCCTGTCTCTTACCCTCCCGAGCCTGGTGCACATACCCTGGAACTGGCCACAGAAAAACACAAGTGTCTGCACACAGTGCTTGTCTGCAGAATCTCACACCTTCCAAAGGTCGTGGAAGTTTCTCCAATTGGCTAAACCTCACACCCAGAACTGAAAGGGATCCTGGGAAATACGGTTTCTGCTTTCTAGCCCCTGCAGGCAGATGCCAAGAGGAGGGGTGAGTGGGTATGGAGTGGCAGTCCATTGCACACATTCTCATGTGCCTGCATGTATGTGCTTGTGCACATGTGTCTCTGCATGTGTGGTGTACATAGAATGCTCACCTGTGTGTGTGCTAATGTACATATGTGTACATGTGTGATGGGGGCAGTTGGGGGAGTAGTGGGCCATCAAGACCAGAGAGAAAGTCTTCACAAAGACCATCACTGACTCTTCCCCTGAGACGGCCTGGGCCGGAGCTCTGAAGGCCATTCAGCCAAGGTGGGCAAACAGGCTGTAAGAGTCCAAGCCTACTGCCTTAGTTTCCTAATACAAAAAGCAAGGCCAGCAGAGCTATGTCCCTGGCCCAAGGTCACACTGCAAGTGATGGCACTGGCCTAAATCCCTGCCAGGTCTGCCGGGGCGAGGTTCATGTTTTCCACTTGGTATGTGACCAGGCTTCCAGGGAGAGTTTTACATGAGGGACCCTCCCACACTGGTCAAGCAGCCCTCCGCCTGCTTCACAGGACTTGTCCCTGGTGGTCCCGCCGCGTGCTCACACGTACTCGAATAATGGCAGACAATTACAGACGCCTGCCCCCCGTGCCAGGCAGTGTGGCCTGCGGTCAGCCATCACAACATCGGGACCAGGCTCAGGGGCCCTAGCCAGGGGCCTGTGCGTCCCCCACCCCCAGACCACTGTGCGCCTTCGGAGACGGGTAAGCTGCTTCCTCTGAGCCCCATGACACCCTGGGAGGGGTAACATTTTTCCCATGTGACGACCGAGGAGCCAGGGCCCAGAGGCAGGGAGGACTTGCCAGGGCCCCACGGAAGCACGCCCAACCCCCACCTCGGCCTCTGCGGTAGCAGGTCCGCAGGATCCAGGCCAACCTGGCCCCTCCCAAGCTGGCTCTCCCCCATTCCCCAAGGCACCTGGCCCAGAGCAGGTGCTAATGTCTATGACAGGAAGAAGGGGAGAATGGTGACAAGCTTCTTAGCAGGACCCCGGAGGTGAGCCGGAGGTGGGCAGGACCTCAGAGCAGACACTGCTAAGACGACCCGGAAGACAGCCCCCTCAGCCACCTTGAAGGGCCCTGTCTCCACTCTGACTCCGGCCTCACCACCCCTCATGTGGCCACTGCTCCAGGCCCTCCATTCCCGACCCCTTGAGTCTCTTTGTTCAAAGCCCCTCCTTCCTCTACAGGCTCTATAGCCCCAGGCCCCAGGCTCCCATGACCCAGAGGACACAGCCCAGGCCTCTCTGTCTGGCCTTTGAGGCCCCTGGTGGTCCGGCCCCTCAGCCCTGACATTCTGTCCCCAACCGCCACACTGGCCCCACATCGGCCGGGACTGCACTGAGGGTGACGGGCGGAGGACATGGAGGCACACACTGCGGCTTCTTTATTGGGCAAAGTCTCAGAGACTCTGTAAGGCACAGACTCGAGGAAGGTGAGGGGCCCTCTGGGGACGTGGTCGGGATCACCAGTGCCGTGGTGCTGGGCACCCTGCTGCTGTGAGCAGCCCAGAGTGGCCAGAGCATTTCCTTCAGGTCTCTCCTGGGTTGCCTGGGAACAAGGGGCCTTTTCCCCCAAGAAGGTGGGTGTAGGTGATGGGGACAAGGGGAAGGAAGAGGAAGCCCCATGGTCCGGGACAGCTGAGGGTAAGGCTCCCGCACGGGCCCGATGCTCCCCAGCCCCGAAGGCACTGTGAATAAGGCGCCCAGCTCAAGGGCAAGTGCTGGTGCTCGCGGGGCGCGGCAGCCTAGCTGACTGTCGCTGAGCCCCGAGGCACCAGGTGGGCAGGCTGCAGGGGCCGTCTCAGCTGAAGTCGCGGTTGGGCAGGAGGAGGGGGGCGACCAGGGTCCACAGGTAGAGGAGCAGCCCGGCCCAGCTGGCACAGATCTTCACCCACACGGCGGCCCAGGTGCTGACCATCCTCCGGGTCTCGCCGGGTCTGGAACACATCACCACCCAGTGGGCCCGGTCCCCGCCTGGACCTCCGCCCTGGCCCTGACTTTATGATCCGGTTGTGACCCCTGACTTCAGCTTTGGTTCTTATCCTGCAACTCCAGTCCCCATCTCTGGTATTTTTGACACTTGACCTTAAGACTTTAGACACAACTCTTGACCTTGTACCACAGACCTGACCCTGCCTGACCTCAGCTCCAACCTTGACCTCAGTCCTTGATTATAATATTGTGACCTGACTCCTGGTCCCTGACTTTGGAACCTTAGGGCTCTAGGCCTTAGACCTGACCTCTAGTCTGCACTCGGACCCTCCGCCCTCTAACCCCGTTTCTGACCCCTGATCTTATGACCACAGTTTTGATGTCTGACCTCAAATCTGACCCTTAACTCTGTGACCCCAGTCCTGCCCCTGGCCTTGTTCTTAGTCCCTTGACTTGGCAATTTCACTCCTGGCTTTATGGCCTCCTGACCCCAATTTTAATCACATGACCAAATTTGTGACTTTATCTGGCCCAATTCCAACTCTTGGCTCCATTATTCCTATTCTTAGCCCTGTGACTCTCACTCTGACCTCTGTACCCTGACGCTAACCCACCAACCATGAATCCCGGATCTGATCCCATCACCCACATTGCCACGCCTGCTCTGTAAAGCTGGTCTGCCCTGCACAGGCCCAGCCCCACCTCCTGTGAGCCCCACTTTTCTGGCACTTGTGTAGGTACCAGGAGCTGAGCTGTCACTGACAGGGAAACTGGGTCACGGATGGGGCAGGCGCCACAGAGGGTCCCAGATCGACTCCTCCGTGCCCAAGCTGTGAGCAGGCATCCGGAAAACCCCCATGAGGAGCCAGAAGAGAAGAGATGTGTGCCCCTCCCCATCCCCCACCAAGGCCCTGCAGGCTCTGCTGTGCCCGGCCAGGCTGCACGCACCTGTACCAGTTGGTGAGCGTCATCATGGAGTGCAGGGAGGCCAGCACCAGGCAGAAGTGGAAGAAGGAGTAGCTGTAGGTGACGCCGTCCTGCTCGTTGTCATAAGCCCGACCCACCTCCTCCTGCGTGGCCTCTGCTACAGGCGGGCACTCCTCTGTCCGCATCAGGCTGTTCACCTGCCGGTGGTCCGAGGAGCGAACACTGCAGGGGAGGGAGCGGGGCAGTCAGGGCTGTAGCCTCCGAGATGGGCAGGTGCCAGGGGGCCTCCTGAGCCAGGCCCTGGAGGTCACAACAGTGGGCACAGTGGTCCAGAGCCTTGGGGGCCCGTGACCTGGTGGTCAGTCCTGTGCCCAGGAGCTAACAAACTGCTTTGACTCTCAGCTCTAGCCCTGCTCCCTGTATGAACCTGGGCAGGACACGCAACCTCTCTGAGCCTCTGATTCCTTGTCTCTAAAATCAGGCATAAGACTTCCTCCCGTACAAGGTTGCTGGGAAGACTAAAGGAATAATGATGTACACAGTCCCCCGCACTGTGCCTGGCACCAAGTATAAATAAATAAACCACCACTGTTATTATGGTTGTTCATTCACCAGTACTGCAAAGCACCATACCAGGTACTACAATTATTAACAATGTTAATAATTAACAATACTCATTTGCTGTTAAGTTTATTTTCCTTTTATTCGTTTTAGGTAAGTGGTTTTACCAATGACCTCCCCTTCATGTTTATAATTTTTAAAAGAGTAAGAGTAACAGTTTTTTGGTCACTGCTCTTCTCTAATGAAGTCTGACGTTGTGTTCAGTTAACAGTCTGAGGCACACATACAATTTGAAGGTCAAAGTTGCTGAGCTGCAGTTGACCCCACTCACCAAAACTGCGTATGCGTGAGCTCACACTTGGGCGAACTCACTGGGTGAAAGCTGCTTGCTCCTGCTCCTTTGCCTCCTGTGTTTTAAGCGCTAGGAATGCGTAGCCCCCCGGACTCTCGGAGGTGCTGCCTGGTGACCTCAGGCCAGAGAGGCATCAGGAAGCACAGGGAGCCTGGGGGGCGGGGCTGGGGCAGGACGGCATGCTCCAGCCCATGGCCACTGGGTGCCCACAGCCTCAGATGAGTGGCCCCTCAACCCTGAGCCTCATTTCCTGCTGGGATGCAGGTGATGGGGTCTTTCCAGATTGAAAACAGAATGAAGTGACAAAGGCCAGAGATGTTTGGAAACTGCCCAGATGTGACTTGGAGAAAATGTTCTTAAAAAGACTCAAACAAAACAAGATGTGAAACAGCCTCAGAATGCCCCAGCCCCGGGCCTGGAGGCGGGGTGGCGCCCCTGGAGGAGCAGGGCAGAGGTGCCCTCCAGAGGGTAAAGGTCAGACAAAGGAGGCAGCCCTGGAGGAAAGTCTGGCCTGCAGAGAGGCAGCACGGAGTCTGCCAGATTCAGGGTAAACAGAATCACAGGATGACGCCAAAGCGTCCATGGAGTGACGCCTACAAAACAGCCACTCACACCCAGCTGTGCAAAGGTTCAGTTATTTGCAACAATAGCAAGCAACTTATTTGATGCCTGCTACTGGTCAAGTTCTGTTCTAAGTGCCTTATACCACGTACTAACTCACCTATAACCCTACAACAATCCGATGAGGTAGGTACTATTTTTATCCCTATTTTACAGACAAGAACACTGAGGCACAGGAAAGTTAAGTGACCTTTACAAGATCACATGACCAGTAAGCGGCAGTGCCAGGTTCATGCGCAGGCAGCCACTTCTCGAGTTCACAGCGATAGGCACTGAGATGCCCTGTTAAAAAAGCTGTCATGTGACCTTAAGAATGAGCGGCTCTCTCTCGGATGAGACCATGGGGTCCCAGCCATCCTGGGCATTGGAGGTTATCAATCTCCTTTTACTAAGGAGGAAAGGGAAGCTCAGAAAGGTGAAGCCACTTAGCCCAAAGCCACCCAGCAGGTGAGTGACAGAGCCTGGACCCACGGACCCCAGTCCAGGCTCTTTGCTTGACCCTGCGGTTGCCGGCACCCAACTGAGCTGGGCACAGAGCAGCCCAGAGTGCAGGAAAGGGCCCTGGGCCAGGAGCCAGGGTTCCGCCCTGCCCCGGCCACCCAGTCACACTGTGTCCTCTGGGGGACTTCCCTTCCCCACCAGCACAGTGCAAGGGCTGGCCATGCTGCTTCCAGCCTGGTGTCTCGGCTCCCACATCCTCCCCTCATTTCCAGCTCTGGGTCCCCAGCAGCCAGACCCCCATCATACCTGATGAATAAGGTACACAGGATGAAGACGATGAGACCCACGATGCTTGGTGCGTCCCACCACTGGGTCACAAAGCCCTCAGGGCCAGTCAGGATCGTCCCGTTGTCAAAGTGGGGGTTGCATTTCTGGTCTGAGGATAGGAGCATGGTCACCCTCAGGCCACACGGGCCAGGTCTGAGGGCCAGTTAGCCTGGAGGATGGGCAGAAGGCCAACCCGAATGGACAGGCAGACAGACTCACAACCCACCATTCCAGTCCCAGCAACAGAGAGCATCTAGCAGACACAATGAGAGACAGCTCTGGAGACAGACGGGGTCCCCCCACTTCTCTGAAAGACTAAGCCTCGGAATGGGCTAAGCTGGGGTGTCCCTGTCACCTGTGAGGCCCCCAGCCCCCTAGAGGGCTGTTCTAGCCCAAGAACAAGGCCAGGCCTCCTCGAGCCTGGGCCTGTACTCACCAGGGACATTGGACAGGGCCAGCCAGGTGACGAACATGGTGTAGAGCGTGACAACGGAGGCCTGCAGCAGACCCGAGTTGGGCTGGGCTTCCTGGTGAGAGCAGTCCCTCAGTAGGAGCCCTGCCAGACTCGGGGACACCCCCACTCAACCAACGAGGGGACCACCCTGGGGCCAGGCGCACCACAGCCTTTGGGAAAACACCCCCCAGGCCACCCACTGTCCACCTCGCCTGCCCAGAGGTAGAGTCCTAATTCCCTCTCCTAACAGGCTGCCTCCTTGCTTTTCTGCTGAGAACCCTGCAAGAAGGGCATCCCTTCCCCCTCTGAATTAAAGCCCCCCCTGATTTGTCTCACCTTCACCTGACCCCCACCCACCCATGCTCCTCCCTGCTGACTGCACAGGGCCACAGTGGTCACCCTGCGGTCTGTGGAACGTGCCACACCTCCTCCCGCCTCGGGGCCTTCGTTCTCACCGAGCCCTCTCCCTGACACGTTCCTCCCCGCATCTCTGCACGGGCAGCCCCTCTGCAGCTTTCGGGCCTCATCTCAAACAGGACCCCCAACCAGGCCCTGGAAACCCTGCCTAGGGCAGCCCCCTCTTGGCTTCCCACACAACACCCATCCAAACCCACCTTCCTCTGCCTGGTCTACCGGTCGTTCTTCCCCACCTTCGCCACACGCACACTTGAAAATGTGGATCTAAACTCTGTAGCGGCCCAGGCTCTGGAGCCAGCCTGCCTGGGGTCGGTCCCAGCTCCACCCTTACAGCCGTGTGACCTTAGACAAGCCTCTTCACTCCCCTGAGCCTCTGTCTCGTCGGCAAAGTGGGGGCGATGATGGTGCAAGGACCACCCGACACGCCAGAGGCCATTAACTGTTGGCTGGTATGCTTACTCTTCCTCCTCTTCCTCACAGCTGTATCCCCAACATCGAGAAGGGTGCCTGGCACGCAGTACGTGCTCAAGAGGCATTTGCTGCACGAATACTGATCGCTGTGTGACCTGACACAGAGGCACCACCCTCTCTGGGCTTTAATTTTCTCGATGGGAAATGAAGGCTCTGACCAGAAGGAAGGTTCCAAAACTTTCCGCTAAAATCCCCCAAAGCTTTCGTAAGCTACCTTTGAAACCCCTGGGGGGCTGAGACCCCGAACTGGAAAGAACCACTGACTCTGAAGGCATTCTTTCTGAAAAACGGACAATTACTTGGGAGCCCCAGACATCCTGAAAGTGGAAACTGCGGAATTACACCACCTAACACCACCTCTTCAGGTGTGTCTAAGAATCCTCGCTCGGTGGCCCTCCCTAACATTCTCCCAATTTACATAAAAACGACAATAAGGATAACACTAGCCAATGTCTGGTGGGTATCTACAGGACAGGCACTGTTCTAGGTGTTCACAAATATGACCTCAATCCTGAGAATAACTCCACACAGTAGGTACTGTATTATTACCCCATTTTACATCCGAGAAGAGAGAGGCACGGAGGGATTAAAGCCCTTCCTCCAAAGACACCTGGCATGTGGACATGAGAGCCAGGGCTCTCACCGGGAGGCTGACGGGGTGCCCACACTCTCAGCTAAGCCTCGGCGACCGGCAGCTGTGCCCCAGGACTCCAGAGTTCCCGCGGGATGTCCGCACCCCAGCAGGCCCGGTTTCAGGCCGCACAGAGACAGGCGAGCTCACCTGGACCTTGGGCAGCACGGAGATGATGGAGACGCAGACACAGAGAATGAGGTTGAGGCTGATGAAGACCTTGCCCTCGGAGCAGGCGCCGGGCTGGGTGTAGTAAACGAACAGCAGGGTCACGGCCGCAACAGACAGCGAGTAGAAGAGCAGGGTGAAGGAGAAGAGGCCTGGCGGGGCGGCAAGCAGGGTGGTCAGGAGGCCCAGGGACTCCCGCTCCCTCCGGGGCACTTGCTGGACAGCCCTGTCTTGGGCCTCAGCTTGGACATCCACGGAATGACGCCCTTGTCTCCTGAACTTGCATCGCTCACCAACACCTTTGTGAGTTTTTGCCCCATTCGGGACTAAAAGGATTCACTCTTCATAATAGAGTAACTGTGCAAATAAAAGCAATGAAAACAAAACAGTCCAAACTGAACTAGAGGGTGGTGGTCGCTCTGTCGGAGTCTGGAGAGGCACGGAAACCAACAGGCGCCGCGGGGAGCCCTTCTTTTTGAGGGACTGAGAAGGAGAATTGAACAGGGCCCCTTTCTGCCAGTGGGGTTTCTTTTTCTTTCAGATTAGAGAGGTAACTCTTTTCTAATATTTTATTATTCTTAGAGAGGGGGAGGGAGAAAGAGAGGGAGAGCAACATCAGTGTGTGAGAAACATTGGTTGCCTCTCGCACGCCCCCTACTGGGGGCCTGGCCCACACCCAGGCATGTGTCCTGACTGGGAATTGAACTGGCAACCTTTAGGTTCCCGGGCTGGTCTCAGTCCACTGAGCCACACCAGCCAGGGCTGCCACTGGGGTTTCAATGACCAAGTGTCATTGGAAGTTTGGTCTAGATTGGCCGTGTGCGGCATATTCCGCAGAAAGCGCTGAACCAGACCCCTCCGAGGCCTCTCCAGGTCCTCTCTCCTCTGATCCCCGGAAGTCACCCTGGCATCAGCTGCCCCTGCCCACGCCCACCTCCTCCCTCCCGTTTCAATGCCTGCACTGAGGCAGGGGCTGCTTGAGATGCGCTCCAGGATTTCATCAAGACTCAAAGACCCCCCGATTCCTCCGGCAGCTCAGGCCCGCCCGAGGCGGCCGGTGGCACTGACCTGCGTACCAGCCGCGGGAGTCACGCTCCTCAGCGTTGCCCAGCCACAGCTGGTTCCAGGAGTGAGCAAAGTCGATGAACAGTGCCAGCTGGATGAGGAAGAAGATGAAGGAGCCCACAACGCCGAAGTAGAACCAGACTGGACGGGGAGACCGGGGGAGAGGTGAGCTGGTCCGGCCATGAGGCGAAGCCTGAGCTCGGGGCTCCCGACCCACCAGGCTCCCTGGGATTCCCGGGGCGGGCCCCACCCACGCACACTGATCCTTCAGTAGTCGTGTGCGCCGGGCCCTGCACCAGGGACACCAAGAAAAAGCAAAGTCCCTGCTCTCAGAGAGCCCGCAGCCCTGCACAGAGTCAGAGCATGGAGGGAATGGCTCAGGAGTGAGGCAGGTCCCCCCAGTCCCCTCCCCACCCCGAAGCTGCCCAAAGGCCATATGGCCAAGCACCAGGGCGCTGTGTCCCGACTAGGAGCCGAGGACCCAGTCGGCAGCCTGGGGTCTGGGCCGCGGGGCCCAGAGCAGCCCCCACCAGTTCCCCTCCCTCAGGAACCCCACGTGCCTCCTGACAGCTCCCAACCCTCCCCACCAAGACCACCTACTGTCGGAGAAGGAGCCATCGGGGATGTAGAAGGCGCCCACAGTGATGCCCACAAAGACCAGGAACTTAAAGAACCAAAACCTGTGGGGCAGACAGATGAGAGAGCTGAGCAGGGCTGGGGGGACAGGCCCGACCCCCAGAACCTCACCCCCCAAAGAGCAAGTCCCGGGAGAGGTGAAGAGGGGCTTTTCTGACGGTCTGGTGGGCACAGGAAGTCTGTCCTGGCCCTAGAAAGAGCCGCGAGGGGCCCGTGTGACCAAGAGAGAAGGACCAAGTAGGGCTGAGGGTGGCCGCCAGGGTCTGGCCCCTACTGGGTCCCCAAATGCTGTGTGGGTTTGGCATGCCGTTGCCCTTTCTGAGCTTTATTTCCTCATCTGAGAATTGGAAAAAGGTAAATGAGCTGCCGCCGTGTTGCGCCCTCCGGCCTCCTGAGTGTGAGGGGAGGGACTAGAGATGTCTGAGAACAGGCAGGGGGCGGACGGGACACCGCCAAGGGGGGGCCGGGAACAGCAGGCCGCCCTCACCCGTTCTGGATGGCGGCCCTGGGGTCTCGGCTGCTGCGCACCCAGAGCATGAGCAGCATGAAGAGGAAGAAGAAGGCTGCTGTGGCGAAGCACATGCGGTAGACGGCACGCTGGCCCAGCAGGGAGCTGCAGTCAACGTAGCTCAGCCGGAAGAGGGGGGTCCCGGCCCCCTCCTCACATGCCCAGGGCAGCTGTGGAGACAGACGGAGCAGCCGGATGGCCCCACCCCACCCCGCCCCTCGAGGCCTAATGCTGCCCAGGCCTGCCCGAGGGAGGCTCTCCCAGCAGGGGCTGGGCCAGGATGGGAGCAGGGCCTCCCACTGCTGGGGCTGAAGTCCTAGGAGTGCCCTCTCACCCCCTGAGCAGCCGGTCCAGTTACATCTTGTCGCTATTGGTCTGTTCCCTCGTCATGACGCCCATGGCCCCAGGAATGCGTGGCACTGGCTAAAGCACGATTTCCCAAAGTGCTCTCCACCCCCCACCTGCACCAGGACCCCCTGAGATTCTGGGGGGAAACCGAGATTCTGAGGCCCCTCTCCTACAGAACTAGAGTCTCTAAGGTAGGCCCGAGACTCTGCATTTCCGCATGCCCCCCAGGGGACTCATACCTTCATGCATACTAAAACGTCACAGCCCCTGGCCTCAGTGTTCTGCTGGGTCTCTGCTGGGCCATGTGTTACTCTCCCCCAAACTGGGCTTGGGCATTAAAGAAGGGAGAGCTTGCCTGGGTCAGTGTCTTAGGGCAACAATGATTCATGTGATTTTCCAAGGGAACCATGACTTACAAGAACCAGGAATCCCAGGTGAGGCTCAAACCCTCCTTCCCATGTGAAGAAACGCATGGGACCCCTCCTGCCCACCTCTTCTTGATCCGCTGGGACCCCAAGCCTGGGGCCCCTGGCAGCTGAGCCTTCACCGGAGGCCAGGTCCCACCGGCTGCTCCCCCAGCACACCCCGCCCCCACCACTGGGGCCACGTACCTTGTGGAGCTGACTCTCCACGCCAGGACTCAGCATGATGATGGACACCAGCACGCCGAGGAAGAGGAAGAAGGTGAAGACGAGGCGGCTGATGGTGGAGTTGCGGCTGGAGGGGCAGCAGCCGCACAGGATGCAGGGGGCAGAGCCGCAGAGGCAGGACGCCTGCAGGGGGGGCAGGGGCAGCACTCTTACTCTGGCCTCCTTTCCCCGTCCCAGCCCAAGCTCACAGCACCCACCACTGCCCGTTCGACGCCTCCAGATGGGCACCGAGCCTGCCTATCCGGCACCGGGCAAGTGTGATCCCGCTTAACTCTCAGGTCTGAGGAGGAGGCTGAGGAAACCAAGCTTGGAAGAAGCTGGGTCACACACGGTCACACAGCTGATGGGAAAAGAACCCAGGTTCACACCTGGATCTACCTCAGGCGTCACCAGGGCTCCAGAAAGAGTTGGGATCCATTTCTCACTTAGAGGGAATCAGAGCAGTAAAAAATATAAATACATTTTAAAAAATCCAGAAGGCCAGCCCCATCACTGGTTAGCTGTGTGACCTTTTGCAGCGATTCAACCTCTCTGAACCTCAGTCTCCTCTTCTATAAAACAGGAGGCAGAAGGGAACTTACTTCTCACGCCGCAGTTGTAAGAATGAAGTAGAAGTTTTAACTTGTAACCTCCTCAGACTCCCTTCCCCTTCCTCGCTTCGTTTTTTTCTCCATAGGACTTACCTTACCACCATCCGTTAAGATTTATATTTACTCATGTGCGTCTGCCTGCCATTTCTAGCAGGTAAGCGCCCCCTGGGCAGGAAATTTTGCCCGTTCTGCTCACTGTGGTATTCCCAGAAATTGGAACAGTGCCTAGCACATAGTAGGAGCTCAGTGACTATCTGGTGAGTGACTGTAAAGTGTTTGGTGTAGCACCAGACACATGTTAAGACCTCAGGAAAGAGCAGAAAAGCGCATGACAAACACCTGTTGAATGAATGGATGGAATGAAGAGTTGTGAATAGCTGGGTTTCCCGCTCTGGGCCTGGACCAGTTTTGGCCAGCAGTGGCGGCCTAACCCTCTCCCTGTCCGGGCTCCTCTGCCCAAGCTGGCCGCGGCCCCTTCCCAACCTGGGGCTGACTGACATCACCCAGGGGCAGTGGTGCCGCGCCCATTCATTGCTGGCACCCCGACAAGAGCCTCACCTCTCTGGGAGCTGCGTCACCAGCCCAGCCTTTGAGGAAAAGCCCAGTTCCAGTTACATCTGCTAAACTGCTTGTCTTCCCACAAACAGCCCCCAGTCCTCACCCGGGTATTTAAGAGTCTGGACAGGCACGGGCCCCGCCCTCATGGAGTTTCCAAGGGCAAGAACGACACTAACGCCCATCGTGGGAAGCACTAGGAAGAGAACCTGTGTGCTGCCAGGAGGGACTGATGGGGGGCCTAGTTTAGATTGGGGGGTGGCGTCACTTCCCTGAAGAAGCGACTATTTAGCTGAGAGCTGAAGGACGAGGATGCCCTCTCCTGACCGAGGTGAAGAAAGAGTACCCCAGACAGAGGGGATGGAGCCCAAGGTGGCTCTGGGGCAGACAGGAATGAAAAGAAGGACCCTGTGGCCAAAGCTTCACGACAGGCAGCGAGCAGCGAGGGGCGAGGTCAGCCCGGCTGGCAGGACCTGGCAGCCACGCGCTACACCCCGGTGGTCACCCAAACAGCAGTGGACACCTGCTCAGGGGTTTGAAGCCAGGACGGACCAGAACAGCCTTACGCTGAATGATCGATCAGCTCTGTGGCAAACGGGCTGAAAGGAGACCTTGCCCTTCTGAGACCCAGCACCCTGCTCTGTGGACTGGTCACAAGGTGTAAGGCACACACACTCTGCTTGAGGGGTATCCGCCTTCCTGTTCCCCGCTCCCGCCCCCAGACTGGGAAGGCCCCTGCAACTGCTCCTTCTCACCAGCTCTCACCTGCAAAGCCAAGGACATGAACGCTACATGAAATGCTTGCAAAAAAAAGTTCTCCCTCATGGGCCAAATCATAACGGTTCACCCACCCAGCAGCTTACAGCCCCCATCCCAAGCCCTGGCCCCTTTCATGGCCACCTTTTGGAGGTGAGGACACAAGCAAATGCCATAAAAGAGTTTTATAAACCGCACAGAGCATTCTGGTTACCAGACAGGGCTGGTTCTCAGTTCCCACTTTACAGATGAGGAAACTGAGATCGGAGAGGTTACAGAACAGGCCGCACAACAAGCGGACAGCAGCGCTGAGAGCCGCCAAGTCATGACCGTGAGTGGCAGCTTCCCTTGGTGGGGAGCTGCTCGGTGCAGACACGGTGGTACGCGCCCTACCTACGTGAAGCCTCACTGACACCATGATGTAAGTATGCTGGAACCTCCCGTTTACAAGTGGGGAGACTGAGACTCAGAGGTAATGCGACCAAGGTCACATGGGAAGGAAGCTCAGGGGCTGGGATTCAGCTCAGGTTACCTACACCAAGGGTTCACTAACTCCCTGACGGCAGTCTGGTTTAATTTCAAAAGACTCCAGTCAGGCAAACGGTGCCGCCGATGCCAGAGAAAACCAAGGGAGGTGGACGGGCCCTGACCTCAGGAACCAGCTGCCCACGTGCCCAGGGCAGGGCCCAGCTCTGGCTTGTTACTATTTCAATTGAAGACATTTGAGATGCAAGAAAAGCTGCCCTGCACAGTCAGGGAGCCTGGCCTTTCAATGCACTCTGTTTTTTAGAGCAAAACCCAGGTGTTCCCGACACCCGAAACCTCCAGATTCCTGAGGGCCCAGCCAGTAGCCAGACAGACCAGGTCAGGGAGAGAAAAACACATGCCAGCTCCCAGCTGCTTCCGGAGCAGCCCAGGTACATTCACGAATCCTGACAGTCCTCCGCCTCTGGGGTGGCTCCTATGAAAACCTCTTCCTACAGAAGTACCGGCGGTGGGGGAAGGGCGGACGCGGGCACGCCAGTACACTCCAAGGCCCCTGTGCACTGTCCACACCAGGAAAATAAAAGGGGGAACTGAAAACAAATGCCCAGCAACGCACCGCGGTGCTCCCTGAGAGGGACATGTCTGCTAAATGGAGTAGAGGGGGAGGCAACACTTAAACGGGTGCACGGAACTAAAGAGAACTAAATTACACCCCCATACAGTTGGTTTTATCATTTAAAAATAAAAATATTCAATTAAGGAAGAAAAACGAAAATAGGCACAAAGCTCTAGGTGTTGGGAGCTTATTAGAATCTCAGCAGTCTGCGATGCCTGAAACGCCCAGGGGCCAGTGGCGGCCCAGGTACTCCCTGGATGTTACAGAAGCAGGGAAGGTGAAAGTCGCCAGGCTGCAGAGCAACCTGGGCTAACACCCACGATGTGATGTGCAAGGCAGAGGCCGACTGTAACACTTGCCCCGCCAAAGGCACTCAGGGGAAAGGCGGCAATGGACAAGCACCGGAACAGGACTAGCCTCAGCACCAGCCACATTCCCTGAACGGAGAACTCGGAACTCAGGAAGCTCTGGGTCTTAGAGTCTTCCAGCTGCAAAGTGGCTTGGCCTCAACCAGTCCGGCCTCTCTCTAATGCAGGATCGCCAGTAAGGCAGCCGCCTCTGCTCTGCTGCTTGCCTACTGTCAACCACAGGGAGCTCACTGCCTTCCAAGGCAAGGAAGACAGCTCTGGAGCCCTGCTTGGTTTGGCATGGTGGAAACAGGCTGCCACTGAGTCATTCGCACTCCCCTGGTTGTCACCAGAGCCAGGGACGTAGGTTCTTAGAACCATTTCTGGGGCACTGGGTGGGGTAGGCAGCTGAGGTCTGGGGCCGCAGTGTAAAGCTGTTTTGTTTAAAAGGAACTGGCCCTCCATTCTTGGGTCACACTCAAGAGAACTGAAGGCGGGGACTCGGACAGGTATCTGTGTCCCGAGTTCACAGCAGCATGATTCACAAAAACCGAAAGGTGGAAGCAACCCAAGTGTCCATCGAGCGTTGGATATGGTAGATACATACGATAGACTATTATTCAGCTTTAAAAAGAAATAAAGTTCTCACGGCCTGCTGCGACCTGGACGAAACTTGAGGACATTATGCTAAGTCGAATAAGCCAATCGCAAAAATATAATTACCACATGACCTCGCTTACATGAGGTACCTAGAGCTGTCAGACTTATAGAGACAGAAAGCAGAGTGGCAGTAACCAGGGGAGGGGAGGGGGAATCCTCACTTAATGCGTCAGGAGTCTCAGTTCAGGGGAAGATGGGAAGGTTCTGGAGGTGAAGGCCATCATGGCCGCACGGCAGGGCGCCGTGCACTTAAGGCTCCTGAACTGCACTCACAATGCTGACTAGGGCACACTTCGTGTTACGTGTGTTTTACTACAGCAGAAGAACAAAAGGAAGGGGCAGAGAGTTTTCGAGGAAGACTAGTAAGTGAGCTAAGTAAGGAAGGGAAGGGTATTCCTACAAAAGGAATAACTGGAGCAAAGCTGAGAGGAACATTGTCTTTCAGGGGAGCTGAGCAATAAAAGAAGCTAGAAGAGTGAGAGAAGTGAGGGCCAAGGTCTGGATTTCATCCTGAAGGCAAGGGGGAGCTACTGCTAAAGAGGTACAACATCAGATTTGCATTTTGCAAATATCACTGGGCCACAGGATGGAAGACAAGTCAAGGCAGTGGGGTGCAGTGTGTTTGGGAACGAGGTGTGGGGGGGAGCCAGGGCTTGTTTTCATAATCCAGAGAACAGATACCAAGGAGAGGGCAGATTCCAGAATCCTCACTGTGTGCTCTCGCCGATCATATTTGCTCCTTCTGACAGTGCCACTCACTGAGACTGATGCCATTAGGCTGGATTTTTGTTAGATATCTATTTTAATATATATCCTGTTTCTTAACATCACAAGCTCCTTGAAGACTACAAAAAAGTCAAAGTGGTAAATTTTAGGTTATGTCTATTTTGCCATAATTAAACATAAAACAGGTCTCGGCCAGGGCAGGGTACACTGTGGAGGTTTCTCCAGCAGCCCCATCCTTGCGGGCTGAGCCGGCCCAGGCCCATTCAAAATGCAGGGAGGGGAACTCGCACCAAACAGCTCCAGCAGTTACTCCCCCAGCACGTCGCTAAGAATAGAGAGAGGGCCTAGAGTCTTGGCTCTGCCACCCAGGTGCAGTGTGACCTTAGATAAGTCTCTTTTCTCCTCCGTGGGACTCAGTCTCTTCATTCATTACGTGGGCTCCTGGGCGGAGCAGGAAGGTGGTTTGGAGCCCAGGCTCCACTTCAGGCAGCCTTGGTTCCGCCGGCTCCACCGCTTCCTTAAACGTGTTCTAGAGAAATGTACCACACGGGGGTGTCACAGAGCGGCTGCTGCACGCCGGCTTCATACCAGCGATGTTCAGTGTTTGTCCCAGTCCCACTGGACCCCCACAGTGCACTGAGAGGCAGGGACCACTGTTCTCCCCACTTTACAACAAGGGGAGAGGAAGGCCCGCCCACGTCCCGCAGCTGAGAAGAGGCCAAGCCAGGACCTGAGTCCAACCAGTCTGACCCGAAGGTCTTTCACACTCCCATTCCCTCACTAAAATACATATTTGCTCACCATCTGTTGTACCGTTTGCTGGCTTTCCTGGTGATTCCCACTTGCTGTGGGGCCCACCCATCCAGGCCACGCCTCACCTTCGGCCCAGTAAAATGCTGGTGCAAATGCCTCCTGCTGGAAGGTACAAAAGTCTCCCCCCGCCGCCCCCACCCCACTGAGGATGCCTGAAAACCCCACAGTGGAGCTTCACTCCTGCAAGGCAAACCTCCACTGAAACAGGTTGTGATGGGTGTCCAGTGTGTGGCAGAATAGACATAACATAAAATTTACTATTGTAACTTTTTTTTTCAAGGAGCTTGTAGTATATTCCAAGAATCATGATAGATATTAAAATGGATGGCTAAGGAACACAGCCCTGATGATATCAATTGCAACAAGCGGCATTGTCAGAGGGAATAAATACCGGCTAATGCACACAATGAGAAATCTAGAGTCAGACTTTTCCCTGGTCTCGGTTCTTTGGATACAGCCTCCTCACCTGTGAGATGGAGATAGTGTTAGCTGCCTCACTGGGGTCCTTGGAAGATACATATAAAGCACTCGCCGCAGTGCTGGGCCTGTGCCACCCCTGAGCAGCTCTGGGCAGTGAGCGTGGGGTGCACAGAGAGGATGCCATAAGCGGTGGCCTCTGTTGGCATTGCCATCTGTCCAATGGGGTAACTACCTCACAGGGCTGAGAGGACCGCATGCGAGAGGGCCTGGTGTGCGGGAGGTGCACAGTTAATGTCCGAGGTCAGAACCCTCGGGGGAGGCCACTGAGAGGAGGTCCCTGGCTGACAGTAGACAGCCACTAAGTGAAACTCGGTTCTACCCTGGGCCAGCTCCCTCTCCCAGGCACCCAGGGTAGGGGAAGAAGCATGGGTTACAAATCAGGTTTTAATCCCGACTGCAGTGCCCCATCCTGTCACTGTGTGCCCTTCGGCAAGTCGCCTGCCCTCTCTGTACTGCGGTTTCCTCCTCTGGGAACCAAGGTTTGCAACAGGCCTGTCAGGTGCCTTCTGGTCTCAGCACGGTAAGATTCGATGAGTCAGAAGCACTTGGCTCCAGAGGAAATTCTCCACCCACATTTCCAAGATGATAATAACCATAGCTCCCATTTAGAGAGTGTGCCATTATTTGGGTGGGGCGCTTTTTGTCTTCCCCACAGCATTATGAGGGAGGGAGGCAGGGGGGGAGACAGGGGGGCAGACAGAGGCACAGGAAGTTGGCAGGTCTCCCCTCAACATCCCCTACCCCCAGGCCAGCCCAGCCAGATGAATGTCTGATGTCTGGTCAACTTCAGGGAAACTCTCCGTCCCCAACCAGGAAGCAAATTCTTCCTGGCCAGAGACCCAGCCCAAACCTTTATTTCACCGGACAGGGAGGCATCTCAGGGACCAGCTCTTGATTTCTCCTCCATGCACATGTGAGTGTGAGCACACACACACACACACACTTCACCGATGGGGAAACGGAGGCCCAGAGAGGACAAGGGACTGTCCAGAGACCCAGTCTACAGCCTCTCTGTCTAGATACCGTTCTCAAAACACGGCTGTAAAGTACATCTCTAGATCCCCCGGCTCTCGCCTCTACCCGCCCCCCATCCCGACGCACACAAAGGAAAGCGAGTTCTGAGATTCAGCGGCTACCAGACCCCCCTCTTCCTCCTGCTCCTCTTTGTGTAGGGCAGAGGGGGAGGGGCTGCCTGAATGAGCCTCGGGTTTAATGAGGGGAAAAGGAAAAGAAGGGGCCTCTCATCTGGGGTCTGGCTGAAGCTCCACCCCCATGCTGGCTGTGGCCCCAAAACGGAGACCGACTGCCCACCAGGCCCCTGCGCCTGACGACCAGGTACTCCCTCCCCCACACACCCTAACCTCCCTCAACTCTTGGGTCTTCCAGCCCTGAACTGGGCCCGGCAGCCGAGGCAACCCTAACAGAACTCACTTAAGGGCATTTTAGAAAGGCGGACAGGGGCTTCCTCCCCACTCCCCAGTTCGGCTTGGGGCCCAAAAGGGCAGGGTCTGCAGAAGCGCCCAGGAGTTAGCCAATGGGATGAGGCAGAGACGGGACGCAGAGAGACCGACGGAACAGGCGGACAAATGGACAGACACCGAACTGTGGACAATGACAGATGGAGAAGCTAGGGAGGGACAAAGACAGTCGGACAAATGAACGGAGAGAGACAGGTATCAGACGAGTACAAATGGACAAACAGGCAGATGGGCTGGGGCGGACAGACTGACGGAGAGATTGCCAGAGAGAGGGACAGAGCAGGACCCGCGACAGAGAGGTGCTGGGACCAGGCAGGCCACACAAAGAGCGTCTAGGAGAGAGACCAGGGAAAGGCGCACTTCGAGGACGACTCGAAGTTGAGCGCGGTGGGGCCACAACGCCCACCCCGGGCCACGGGCCTCAGTCTCCCCAGTTCCTGAGACGAGCGCCCGCAGAGGGCGCTTCCCTCCCCCGCCCTGCGTGCCCCACACCCTCCCCCGCGGTAACCGGAGCCTGGGACAGCAGCTGTCCCCGGCGCCTGCGGGCAAGGGCTGGGGGTGGGGTGGGAGGGGGGGAATCCGGGGCGCGGAGGTAGGGTGCGGGTCCGGAAAGCCTAGTTTGAGGAAGGACAACGAAGAAAGTGGGGGAAGAAGACAGGACGAAAGTGAGCAGGCGGAGCGCGGCGGGTGCCGGTGGGGACTCACGCAGCTGAGCAGGGAGCAGGCGCCCAGGCAGGCCCCCATTGCGGCGGCGGCGGCGGGCGCGGGGCGCGGGGCGCGGGGCTCGGGGCGCTGGCCGCGGGATCCGGTCGGGCTTCGGGAGCCCGGGCCTGGCCCCGCCCCCGCCCGTGGCCCCGCCCCGGCCCCGCCCCACCTGCCAAAGCCGCTCGCAGTTTTCCGGCGGCGCTGGGGGCCCCCAGAGACTCACCTAGGGCAGGTGCACTGGGCGGAACCCGTGAGGAAAGTGGGTGGAGTGGTGATCCCCGCGGCTACGCGAGCCACGCAACCGAACCAGATTCTAGCGGGGGCTCGTGTCCTGGTCCAAGTGAAGGTCTGGGACCTGGGTTCGAGTCCCACGAGGCCACAGTGTGAACTCACAACACCGTCCCCCCTGCAGGGTTCAGAAGCCAAGAGGTGGTCACCCCTGACTCCTCCGCACTTAGCGCAGAGCCTCTGCCCAGCGCATCGGGGTTGAAGGATGAATGACTGCATAAAGAAACAAAGTCACCTCGCCTCTCTGAGCCCCTTCACCGCCTGTAAGGTTAGGATACCTGCCTCGCAGGGCTGTTACAACACAGAGCAGATGCTTGACAGATGTGAGCTCCCCGTCGCTCCGGTTTCATCCTAGACCCTGGCCCTGCACACTTCCAGCTGCCCTCCCCTCCGTCCACCTGTTCAGCAAGCTCTGCTGACCCTTTGCAGCCGCGAGCCGCACGTGCGCCCCACAGCCGCCCTGTTCAGTGGCTGGTCCTCCGCAGGACGCCCAAACCCTGGCCCCCAGCTGAGAAGGTCAGAAAGGGCGAGTGGGTCACATTCCTGGCAGACCGGCCAGTCCCGAGAAACAGGCGGCAGAGACCCAGAAACGCGTGCTGTAATTAATTACTCGAGGCTCGCCCTCCAGCCCTCTCGTCCTTCGACTCCACACAAGATAATGACAGGAGAGGAAATCTGGACTCTGCACAGATGGGCCCAGGACTGGAGATCTGGGGACGCCAGGCTTAGCCATTAACTGCGCCAGGGCTCCCCTCCCCCAGTGCGTGCCCATGTGATGCCTCCTTGGGAAAGTTCTGTTCCGCCTTCTCCCCCGTCTGCCCTCTGAAGCTTTGCTCACACATCCCGCATCTTCCCGGTGAAGAAAACCACCACCATGGCCTCCAAAACCCTCTCTGGCCCCATGAGGAATGAACATTCCTCCCACTTCCCCGAGTTTCCGCAACATGAGCCTCCGTGATGGCCTCACAAGACACGCAAGTTACCGCAAAGCCTCATCACGCACCAAACTTTCACCGACAGGGTCCCACTCCGGCCCCAAGGTAGCCCTGGAAGTAGGTTCATTGCCCATCTGACTCCAGTTTACAGGTGAGGAAACCGGGGCCCCAGGAAGCGCAGCAGCACACCTGTGCGCCAGCCAAGCGCTGGGCGAACATCGCCTGCAATGCTGTCATTGTCATGTGGCCGCTGAAGGCCACACAACTCAGACGGCCAGAGCTCGAAGACGGCCGGCCTGCATCATCACACACCCGAGGCCTGTCCCCAACACCTCACTGCCTGGCTTGCAAAACGGAGGTGACAATATCCAGTCCATCTCTTTTTCTGTCCAATGACACGTGCGGCCCTTCCCTGGTCCGAGGCCCTTTGGAGACTCCGAGCTCCCCAGGATCCGTCGGGTTCACCTCTGACACTGAGGCGGTAAATGTTTGCTGAATGAATGAATGTCTGAACTTTTACCTCAAGCCCAGTTTCCTCATCCCGCCGGGACTGACCGACCCAAAAACAGCCCCTACAAGGTCTCCTTTCCCCTAGCAGTCTTCTGTGCCTGGAATGCTACCAAGCAGGCTTCTCACGGCCTCGCCCCAGAGTCAACTCCTTCTGACACTTCTGTCCTAAGGGCCGACTTTCCGTCCCTCTGCCCCTCCTTCCCCATGAGCTGGTCGAGTAGAAAGCACCCGAGACCAAAGCAGGGTAGCACCAGAGACCCCTGTTCCCCCACAGCCTCTCCCACCCTCCGGCGTCCTGGGGGCCACTTCACCGCCTTGTACCTCCACCTCCTCCCCGGCACGGGGTAGTCACCCTGCTTACCCTCGCAGAGCAGCGGTGAGCCCTGAGAAAGCGTCCTAAGAAAGAGGCAGTTCTCTGAAACGGGCAAGGGGCCGACTGCAAGTGTAGAGAAGACGGCCCTCTCTGGTTTCAGATGGAAACTTTCCAGAGCAGGGCGACGGATGCCACGGCCCTGGCCCCACCCTGCCCAGGACAAGGTGACAGAGACTCTCACCCCCCCACTTTGCGTCACCCTAGATGAAGGGGCCAGCCTGCTCTGCAGATACTCACTTTGCGGCCTTGTCCCCGCGACTCCCCCTCTTTCAGCCTCATGCTTCTCATCTGTGAAATGGAAATAATCACTGTTGCTCTGGGCATGTCGGGGGACTTTTGAGATGAAATGAGGTGCTAGGTAAAGAAGCTTCATTTCTCTGCGTTCTGACCAGGCTTTCTCCGGACTTGAACCTCCTGCCTGGGGCGGCGATGGCTGCCTCTCACAACTCCGAAGGCAAGATCGTCATCAGGAACTGTGTCCTTGGAAAGTCGCCCAACCTCTCTGAGCCTCACTGAGGGTTGAGACTCACCCCAGCTATTCCAGCCGCGCATCGCCTTGCAAACTATGTTCATTGGGAGCAACATGCAGGGGGCCCTCGGCCCATCCCCCGGTGCCTATTGTCCAGCCCAGACAGGTGCTCAGCTCTCCAGGACCCAAAGGAAGCAGGCTCTGGCTTCTTAGGCCAGTCACTCCAAGGGTTCTCTATTTAATCTGCTCGCACTGGGCCTCGGTTTTCAAATCTGAAATATGGGACAATCCCCTCCCTCTGGCCCCCAGTGACCCTCAATAGTCCCAATCCACTCTTGCCCCGTCCCTCCTCACCATCCTCCCATCCATGGGGACTCAGATGGACTCTGGCTTCGAGGCTCCTGTCCGCTGGGCTCCACTCTGAGCACTGGCCTCCACTTCCCACTTCTGACGCATTAACAGAGCAGAGCTGAAATTATCCCTTATGAATATGCATGTGGGATAATGAGGGTTTGGGATTGGGGGAGGATCTGGGAGAGGCGGTCACAGAAGCACCACCCGCCCCCACCCACTCTCTCCATACACAACCCCCACACCAAGTCTGCCCTCCCTCCGAAAGGGTGCGTGGGACTTTGGGGCAAAGATGATAAGATATCCACAGAAACCATTTTTCAGTGCATACAACGTGCCAGGCACAGGCTTCTGAGGACTCTGGATGCTTCCCTCACAGATGTCGAAGGTCTGCCATGATGCACGGGTGGGCACCGTGCGTGACCATGTGCACATGTGCATGGGTGAGCCCGCGTGGTGCTTGCATATGGCTGTGTGAGGGGAGTGGACGTGTGTGAACTGGGGGACATGGGTGAGTCATACATGGTGTGCACCTCTGGGGTTTGGCATGTAGGCGTGCATGTGAGTGTGTCAGCGGGGTTTGTCATGCAGGGGAGAAGGCTGAGGGGAGGGAGTATCACACGGCCCAAGCCTCACATCCATAAGCCTCCGAAATGCATCAAAAATGAGATGGATGGACAGAGAGACAGATGAATTGATGGATGGATGGGTTGGAGGGACCGATGGATGGAAGGAAAGAAGGACGGGTAGAGGACGGGCAGGCGATGACGTAAACCCTGTACTGCAAGGTGTTCACTGTAGGTACCAGGGGTGAGGTGTGGGTGTTCACGGGACAACTTTTCAACCTTTCTGGATTCGTGAAATTTTCCATAGTATGATGTTAAGCAACAATGTAAACTCAAGGGCGGCTAGGCGTCTAGACCCAAAATCATGCACCAGACAGGAAGAATAGAAAGGTCTTCACACAATTGTAAACATCTACCCCATCACTGACCACACAGCACTATGAATTCACGTCTTTTATCATTCCTGAAATCATCCTTTGAAGCTCTGAACTGCATTGCTTTTGTTTTCGAGTGTGTGTGTTAAAAGACATTCATTTTTAAATAAAAACATGTAAAAATACCACGATTGTGACATTTCTTCATTGTTAACCACTGGGAGCCTCTAAAGCCAGAACTGGCTGTGCCTCTCTGGGCCTATGAGAGGCCCTGCTGTGTGAGGTACGTGTGTGGGTGTGCACACACCCGTGCGGGCGGGCGAGGCTGACACCCACGTGTGAGCCACACCAGGGGCTCAGCCTCTTCCAAGCGCCCAGCAGCCATCGCTGGGATGAGAGGATGTCTTAGGGCTGAAGAAGGGTGGCCACCAGCCCCAGGGCAGCCTCGGGGACCAAGAACTCTGTTATCTGAGGCGTGGACGCGCTCAATCAGCCAAGCAGCGTCCCCGCGTCCCTGGGCCGGCAGCGGGAGTGTGGGTGGCTGACACTGAGGTGTTTCCTGGAGGGAGGGGGGCAAAGGCAGGATGTCCAGGGCCCTCCTGCCGCCCGGCGGCTCCTCCCTTCCCTCCCGCACGTGCATCACCACCTGTCTGGCCATTCCTCCCCCTCGTTGTACAGATGGGGAAACTGAAGTCTAGAGAGAATGGAGCTGCCCAAGCCACACGCAAGTCAGCAGCAGAGTCACCACTGAGACCCAGCCCAGGTTCTATTCTCCATCCCCACTGCCTGCCACGTCTGGCCCTCCCCGCTTCAGTCACTGCAGGGCAGGTGTCCACGCCCAGCAGGCTTGGAGGTGAGGCCCTGGGCTGCTCTCCTGCCCATGTGGGTTACACACCAGGCCCAGGGGGCCATGTGGGGACCAGAAACAGCCCATGGCTCTCGGGCAGGACCTGGCTTCTACTCCTGCCTCTGCCCTGGATCCTGTCCGACGGACCCTGGACAGCTCCCTACCCTGCTCAGGGCCTCGGTTTCTCCATCTATAAAACATGAGGTGCCTTTCACATCTTTTGAGGCAGAACCCTCCAAGCAACTACAAGAACTGCCGCCCTGGTCGATGTAGGAGAGGCAGGTAATCTCTGCCCACTGCCCCCCTCATCTGCTGTCCACCAAGAAGCTCCCCGAAGAGACTCGCACCCAACTGCAGAGCAGTGGGTAAGTACCAGGCTTCAGAACCA